CTTACTGGCTTATGTATGTTACCATTCCTGATGTCCGATTTGTGTCCATTTATTCTTTTGCGGAGGGACTGTCCGGTTTGGCCAATGTACATGGCAGAGGGGTATTGCTGGCACATGATGGCATATATGGGGTTATTAGTATCTGTCTGGAATTTCCGCAAGACATGAGCAGAAAGAACCTTGGTTTAACAGATAGTCCCAATGACAGCACCTCTAATAGTGCAAGACGCAACCCTTGAACTGGAGTACAGTATAGACATTATATCCTAATGTCATAAGTTCACTTGCTCTGGAAATACTTGGCCCCATGTCCAGAGGCAAAAGTTCTAAACATTAATCCATACAAACAGTTTTTCTGTTTGTTTTAGGAGACCAAACCAAAACTATTCAATAGAGCTGTTTTGGAAATGGCCGTTTCCCCACGGCTCAACCTACCCATCCCTCTCCTTCACACAAAAAGGGAATGGGAAGCATTCATCAAAATTTCAGGATTTTGTTAACTGGCTAAAATTTTCAGATTTTTGATTTTTTAAGGGAAATTTCTGTGGGAAATGTCAATTTTCTTTGACAAATTAGTTATTTTCCATTAAATTAAATTAAACTTGGACAGAAAAGTCCCTAGCAGCCATGTAGCTGGGTCTATTTTAATATATGTATCATTAGCATGAATGGGAGTTGTCCCCAGAACTCCCATTTTATCGTGTGCGTCATGATAAAAATAAACAAACATCCATCCTTTGGATTGTATTTAAGATGTTCAGAAGAATTTGTGTATGACAGGTTTTATTTTTGAAAAATTCTCAGAAATTTGAACCTCACGATGATTGAAGAAGTCTGGCAATGGAGTCTGTCATGTTCCCACAAGAATAGGCTCACATTAAAGAGATTAACAACTGGCTAACTGCTGCTGTAATACTGTATCCAGTTCTGGTGCCCACAGTTTAAGAAGAAGTTGATAAGTTGGAGAGGGTTCAGGGAAGAGCCTCAAGAATTATTAAAGGGTTAGAAAACCTGCCTTATAGTGATTGAGCTCTTTGAATCTATCTATTTAGCTTAACAAAGAGAACGTTAAGGGTTGAGTTAGTTATAGTCTATTATTACCTTCTTGGGGAATGAATATTTAATAACAGGCTCTCCAATCTAGCAGAGAAAGATATAACAATCCAATGGCTGGAAGGGAAATTCAGACTGGAAAACAGGTGTAAGTTTTTAACAGTGAGAGTAACTAACCATTGGAACAATTTACAAAGGGTCATGGTGGATTCTCCATCACTGACAAATTTTAAATCCTGGTTGGATGTTTTCTAAAAGATCTGCTCTGGGAATTATTTTGGGGAAGTTCTATAACCTGTATTATACAGGAGGTAAGATTAGATGATCACAATGGTCCCTTCTGGCCTTGGAATCTATGAATTTCAGTTAGATAGCGTTGGCTTATTCCAATTTGTTTCTTACTTTTTCTGAGCTTTGTTGCATGTAAGTTATGCCTCTGCATGGGGGAAGATACACTTCAGTCCCCTGGCCCGCCAGTTCTTCAGCATTCACAGGAAGACTTGTAACTGAGGCCTAGATCCACAAAGGGATGTTTTGGTGCCTATAAAAAAATCACTGACACTAATGGGATCCACAAAGCCTGAGTTAGACACCTAAGATCCCTATACAATGCATGGGGAGAAATAGCATCTAGGGCCAGATTTTTAAAAAATTATTTAGAAACCGAGTAGAATTTTCAAAGGCATCTAGGCACCTAACACCCATTGAAATTAATGAGTTGTATCAGGGCCGGCTCCAGGGTTTTTGCCACCCCAAGTGGCAGTGGGGGGGGGGGAAGCTGTGATCGCGATCAGCGGCACTTCGGCGGCAGGTCGTTCCCTCCGAAAGGGACTGAGGGACCAGCCGCCGAATTGCCGCCAAACAGCCGGACGTGCTACCCCTTCCCCTTGGCTGCCCCAAGCACCTGCTTGCTGCGCTGGTGCCTGGAGCCAGCCCTGATTTGTAGGCATCTAGGTGCTTTTGAAAATTCTACGGTGCCTAAATACCTTTAAAAATCTGGTCCCTAAAAACATCCACAAAAGCAAACATGCTAGGTAGGGTGCTGCCTGAGCTAACCACTGCGGAAAGGAGTGTTCACAGAATTCAGCCTCTAAATTCAGGCTGCAGGGAGATGCCTGTTTCAGCTTGTAATTCACAGCCAGGAACTTTCTCCTGGAAAGGAATAGTTTAGTGACTATGTTATTTCTTATGAGAAGTTAGGTGCCAGCCTAACTCCACACAAAACAGCCACAGGGAGCAGGACCTGCCTTTAGCCCACAGGTTAGTGGACTTACCCAGAATGCATGAGATCTCAGTTCAGTTCTTCACTGTGCCTGAGGAGAAGAGACTTGAAGAGGGGTTTCCCAGCTCTCTAGTTAGTGCCCTAACCACTAGATTATAGACTGATTCTCTCTCTGGCCCAGTTAAAGAGGAACAGCTTCAACAAGAGATACTGAGAGATTCCTATATCAGAGTACCCCAGTGGTTAGGGTACTTACCTGAGAGGTGGGGAATACCAGCAGGATTTGAACTAGGGTCTTCCAGAGCCTGGGTGAGTACAATAACCATAGGATTATAAAAAGGAGGTCGTCCTCTTCTCCAGGGATTATGTGTGGAGTTAGGCAGCCTCTGATTATGCCTTCTGATCAGGCCCTGCAGACAAGAAAGGCAGATGAACACCTATATTCCCCTGGTTTGGGATCATGCTGAGGCTTAGGCATTTGGATGCCTAGAGTGAGGCAGTAGCATGCATGCCCTGATGCAAAAACTGAGGTGCCTACAGAGCTTTTACAGCAAAAGTTTAGTTGTCAAGTGAATTTAGATGTCTGCAGGCTGAGGCAGCAGCTGGGGTGGGGGGGGGTGGATCACAGTGGTGTATAAAACTGAGACTGAGATAGCTAAATAGCATTGTGGATCTGGGCCTAAGAGAACCATAGGTAGCAGCTCAGAGAGTAACTTCTTTTACCTTTAGAATTAATGCATTGTTTTTCTCCCTGCTTGTTAAACTGTGAATGTAGGTTTTAAAATTATCTATTAAATTAAGCTGCCTTGTGTACAGCTGTGGTATCCCAGTCTCCTCTCCTGTTAAGATGAGGTTTGCTGATCAATTAATGTCACACTGTGGTCTAGTTCAGCTTGTGTTTTTATAGTCACCAAACTGGCCTGCTTTCCTTCATTAGGGCTTCTTTTCAAATGCTATAGCAAACAATGGCTTTGTGACTTGGCAACTGAACAGTTCACTGCAGTGAATGGCTGTGCACCTCTGAGAAGCCATACTGATGAACATCAACTCTTGTACACAGAGATTAACGTTAATCATAAAATTAATCTTATTTTATCTAAAGATTATGTGTGGATTGACTTTTTTTCTCCTCAACTCCCTTGCATCTTAAAATTGAAATACAGTATATACACAAGAAAGGCTCCAGATTTGTTATGATTTAGCTGCCAGGCTTTTTCCATATCATATTACAGTTACAGTATTTATTAAGGCTGGGATTGTGCCCATTGACAGATGATTTTTCAGTAGGAAAATTTAAATATCAACTAAGACTAATTAGAGAAAGGAATTACATAGGATAAAAGTCAGGGGGACTTACAATATGCATAGATAAAAGCAAATTTTAGCTCCAATTTCCTTTTAAAACTAAGTAAATTGTAAGTTCCATTTTTCTTTAAAAGCCAAAAAACTCTACATCAGGGGTCGGCAACGTTCGGCATGCGGCTCGCCAGGGTAAGCACCTGGCGGGCCGGGCCAGTTTATTTACCTGCTGACGCGGGAGGTTCATCCGATCGCAGCCCCCACTGGCCGCGGTTCGCCGTCCCGGGCCAATGGGGGCGGCGGGAAGCGGCATGGGCCGAGGGATGTGCTGTCCTTGGCTTCCCGCTGCACCCATTGGCCTGGGACG